CAGATGTTTAGCAGTTATGCAGAGCAAATATTTGGATATCTAGTGGAAGTTTTCAGTTTTTCTGAACACAGAGACATTTTATTTGGAAAAAGACATTATTCAAAAATCAAGACGAAAGCATTTTTTAACTAAAAAGAAGAGTGGAAAGAAAAGTCTTTTACAGTCAAATTGATTGTCTGGTTTCATTAAGTTCCCTAGATGAGTTTGTGATGTCTCCTTTCACCTCGTTTAACTGCTCTTAAAGGCCTAAGGAGATTTTTAGCTCAAATCAGAGCAATCTAAAAGGAAATTTCTCAAACTGCAAAATAGGTTCTTAGAAATCAAGAAACTTCTACTCTTTGGTAAATACATTCAGAAATGTGCAAGTCTAAGCAAATTTTTTTCCCAGTGACTATAATGGCCTGTTTAAGATCTTCAGGAAATACCTTATTATGCATTTTTTCCAAGTATGTCTTCTGAATACTTGGAAGATATAAAATCCCATTTCTTCTCAGCAGAATGCAGAGTAGTTTAACAGCTGAGAGACAACATGTTGGACCTGTGTCTGAGTAAGATTGCTGAACTTTAGTTCTCTTGGAGATAAGGCTAATCTAATGTGGGAACTATTAGGAGCAGCTGAAATTATTCAGCCAACAGAACTGATGTTTCTTGTTTAGTCTGTTTTCAACCTTCAGGGCACAGGATTCAAAATAATTTCCAAAGAGGCTTAAGATAATTATAGGAAGAGTGCACGAGATAGCTACTGCTCACACTCATTAAGGAGCAAAAGAAATCACAAAAGTGTTGCTGATAGAAACAAATAGGTTCAGTAGGACAAAAAGTTGGAAAAGCAGAGGACATCTCTGAAATTCCGGCAGGAGAAATGATACCATTCCTAAAGAAAGGAGTGGAGAATTTAGCAAAGGTAAGTTAGTAAGACAAAAAGCTGTGATGGGCCTAGAAAGCTCACTGGACAGATACCTTCAGTGAGCAGATCAAAGTCATTATTTTAAAAGACAGAGACTCAGAGATTCCAGATCTCTGTACTCACGGGAACTGTTTATGCATGGCTGAATCCAGGAAATAGACTCTTTGAAACATTTCTCAATCCTGAAATAAAGGCTCTTCAAGAGACAGAGAGGAGATAGAACATAGATAGAGAACAAGACATGCTCCAGGATGAATGCCACGCATTGAAGAGAAGGAAACAACTTGCTTCTTTTTTCCTTCACCAAACATTTTTTAGTTTTTGGAAATTATCTTTGTTGGTTTATTTATATTCAGTTCATTCACTTTAATGTTTGTATAGGACTCCATTATGTGAGTTCAGAATAATTTATTAATGCCTTTCCATCAGTAAATAATCAAGATGAGGCCTTTTTTTAGCTGCAGTAAACAAGCCTACAAAAAGCCTAAACTAGCCAACTAAATGGGGAATTGATCAGTAACAGAATATGCACATCTTCAACTTTGTTTCCCAAAGAGACGATTTCAATGAATATTCTCAACAATAATGTATGAGAACTCCCTTTTCTCTACATTCTGCTTAAATTTGGTATTGCTTTCCTCTTTTCAAACAGTGTTTTATTCTATATTTTTTACAGATTTATAAGATATATATTTATGTGTGTTTGTCCATTTAATCCTTTACTGGTTATATGCATTGTAAATGCCGTCTCCCAGTGGTGTGGGTTGCTGTATATAGAAGTTTTTAATAATCACATGTTTAAATTCAATTATTTATGCTTGAACGTTTGCATACAGAGCGTGAGTTCTTTGCATAAATACCCAGAAGTGGAATAGCTGGATGATATGGTAGTTCTACTTGTAATTTTTTGATGAATCTCTATACTGTTTTCCATAGTGGCTGTACCAGTTTACATTCCCACCAGCAGTATATGAGGGTTCCCGTTTATCTACATACTCTGTAACACTTGTTATTTCTTGTCTTGTTAATAATACCATTCAGATGAGTGTGAGGTGATATCTCATTATGGTCTTGGTTTGCATTTCCCTAATAATTAGTGTTGTGGAACATCTTTTCATGTGCCTTTTGGCAATCTGTATATCTTCTTTGGAAAAATGTCTGTTCATATCCTCTGCCCATTTTTTAACTGGGTTTTTTGTTGTTGTTGAGTTGTATGAGCTCTTTATATATTTTGGATATTAACCCCTCATCAGATATATGATTTGCAAATATCTTATCCCAATTGGTAGGTTTTCGTTTTGTTGTTGGTTTTCTTTGCCATGCAGAAGCTTTTTAGTTTGATGTCCTCCCATTCATTTGTTTTTCCTTTGTTTCCCTTGCCTGAGGAGACATATTCCAAAACATACTGCCAAGACCGATGTCGAAGAGCGTACTGCCTATGTTTTCTTCTGGGAAGTTTTATTGTTTTAGGTCTTACATTCAAGTCTTTAGTCTATTTTGAGTAAATTTTTGTGTATGGTGTAAGATAGTGGTCTACTTTCATTCTTTTGCATGTAGCTGTCCAGTTTTCTCAACACCATTTATTGAAGAGACTTTTCTTTCTCCATTGTATGTTCTTGGCTCTCTTGTCAAAAATTAGCTGTCCAAAAACCCAAAAATGTATGAGTTTATTTCTGGGCTCTCTATTCTGTTCCATTGATCTGTGTGTCTGTTTTTCTGTTGGTATCATGCTGTTTTGATTACTACAGCTTTGTAGTAATCTTTGAAATCTGGTAATGTGATACCTCCAGCTTTGTTCTTTTTTCTCAGGATTGCTGTGGCTATTTGGGGTCCTTCATTTTTCCACATAAATTTCGAGATTCTTTGTTCTATTTCTGTGAAAAATGTCATCGGGACTTTGACAGGGATTGCATTGAATTTGTAGATTGCTTTATGTAGTATAGACATTTAAACTATGTTAATCCTTCCAATCCACAAGCATGGAATATTTTTCCATTTCTTTGTGTCATCTTTGATTTCTTTCAACAATGTCTTATAGTTTTCAGTGTACAGGTCTTTCATCTCCTTGGTTAAATTTATTCTTATGTATTTTATTCTTTTTGTTTGTGATTGTAAATGGGATTGCATTCTAGATTTCTCTTTGTGATATTTCATTATTATTGTATAGAAATGCAACTCATTTTTGTATATTAATTTTATACCCTGCAATTTTACTATATTCATTTATTATTTCTAATAGATGTTTAGTGGATTCTTTAGGGTTTTCTACATATGAAATCATGTTATCTGCAAGTAGTGTTAAATTTGCAGTTAACTGCAAATTTTACTTCTTTCTTTTCAATTTGGATCCTTTTAATTTCTTTTTCTTGCCTATTTGCTCTGGCTAGGATTTTCAATACTACGTCAAATAAGAGTGGTGAAAGTGAGCATCCTTTTCTTGTTCCTGTTCTTAAAGGGATAGTTTTCAGTTTTCACCATTGGGTATGGTAGCTGTGGGTTTGTCATATATCGCCTTTATTATGTGGAGGTACTTTCCTTCTATACCCATTTTATTGAGAATTTTTATCTTAAATGGATGCTGAATCTTGTCAGATGCCTTCTCTGCATCTGCTGAGATGATCATGTGATTTTTATTCTTCATTTTGTTAATGTGATGTATCATGTTGATCGATTTGCACATGTTGATCCATCTTTGCATCCCTGTAATAAATCCCACTTGATTGTGGCATACGATCATTTTAATGTATTGTTATATTCAATTTACTAATATTTTTTGAGGATTTTTGCATCTATGTTCATCATTGATATTGGCCTATAATTTTCTTTTTTTGTCTTGGTCTGGTTTTGGTATCAGGGTAATATTGGCCTCATAACATGAGTTGGGAAGCAACCACGCCTCCTCAATTTTTTGGAAGAGTTTGAGAAGGATATATATTAAATCTTCTTTGAATGTTTGGTAGAATTCACCAGAGAAGCCACCTGGTCCTGGACTTTTGTCTTTTGGGAGGTTTTTTATTACTGTTTCAGTCTCCTTGCTAGTGATTGAATAGAATCTATTCAGATTCTCTATTTCTTCTTGATTCAGTTTTAGAAGGTTGTATGATTCTAAGAACTTTTCCGTTTCTTCTAGATTATCCAATTTCTTAGCATATAATTGTTCAAAGTAGTCTCTTATGATCCTTTGTATTTCTGTGGTATCTGTTGTAATTTCTCTTGTTTCTGATTTTATTTATTTGAGCCTTCTGTCTTTTTTTCCTTAGTGAGCCTAACTAAAGGTTTGTCAATTTTGTTTATCTTTTCAAAGAACCAGCTCTTAGTTTTATTGATTTTTTCTATTGTCTTTTTAGTCTCTATTTCATTTATTTCCATTCTGATTTTCATTATTTCCTTCCATCTACTGATTTTAGCTCATTTTTTCTTCTTTTGCTAGTTCCTTTGGGTGTAATGTTACATTGTTTATTTGCTATTTTTCTTATTTTTTTCAGGTAAGCCTGTATTGCTATAAACTTCCCTCTTAGTACTGCTTTTGCAGTATCCCATAGATTTTGGTAGGTCATATTTTCATTTTCTTTTGTCTCCAGGTATTTTTTTATTTCTCCTTTAATTTCTTTGTTGACTCAATAGTTGTTCAGTAACATTTTGTTTAATCTCCATGCATTTGTGACTTTTCCAGTTTTTTCCTTACAGTTGATTTCAAGTTTCATTCCACTGTGGTTGGAAAAGATGACTGATTTTATTTCAGTCTTCTTAAGTTTATTGAGACTTGTTTTGTGGCCTAATATGTGATCTATCCTGGAGAATGTTCCATGTGCATTCAAAAAGAATGTGTATTCTGTGGTTTTTGGATGGAATGTTCTGTATATATCTACTAAGACCATCTGGTCTAATGTGTCATTTAAGGCCAATTTTTCCTTATTGATCTTCTGTATGGATGATCTATCCATTGATGTAAATGGGTGTTCAATTCTCCTACTATTATTATTTTACCGTCGATTTCTCCTTTTATGTCTGTTAATATTTGCTTTGTGTATTTAGGTGCTCCTATGTTGAAATCATAGGTATTTACAAGTGTTATATCCTCTTATTAGATTTTTCCCTTTATCATTATGCAATGCCCTTCCTTGTCTCTTGTTACAGTTTTTGTTTTAAAGTCTATTTTATCTGCTGTAAGTATTGCTATCCCAGCTCTCTATTCACGTCCATTGGCATGAAATATCTTTTTCCATCCCTTCACTTTCAGTCTGTGAGTGTCTTTACGTCTGAAGTGTGTCTCTTATATGTAGCATATATATATGGTTTTGGGGTTTTTATCCATTCAATCACACTATGTCTTTTGATTGAAACATTTAATCCATTTATAATTAAGGTAATTATTGATACATATGTACTTATTGCTATTTGTTACTTTTTTTCTGGATGTTTGTGTTGTTCTTCTCTGTTCCTTTCTTCTTCTCTTGCAATTTGATGACTTACTTTAGTATTATGTTTGGGTTCCTTTCTCTTTATTTTTTGTGTATTTATTATAGGTTTTTGGTCTGTGGTTAACATGAGGTTAATATACAATAACCTATTACATAGCAATCTATATTAAGTTGATGGTCTCTTAAGTTCAACATCATAATAAAAACCCTATAATTGTACTCCCCCTGCCACATTTGTTTTTGACACCATATTTTACCTCTTTTAATTTTGTGTATCCCTTAACCTCTTATTGTAGTTATAGATATTTTTAGTACTTTTATCTTTCGACCTTCATACTAACTTTATAGGTGGATGATCCACTACCTTTACTACATATTTGCCTTTACTAGTGATATTTTTTCTTTGATAATTTTCTTATTTCTATCTGTAACCTTTTCTTTTCCACTTAAAAAAGTCCCTTTAACATCTCTTATAAGGCCAGCTTAGTGGTGATAAACTTCTTTAGTTTTTGTTTGTCCTGAAATTTCTTTATCTGTCCTTCCATTCTGAATGATAACCTTGCTGGGTAGCTTATTCTTGGTTGTAGGTTTTTTCTTTCAGCACTTTGAATATATTGTACCACTCTTTTTTAGCCTGTAAGGTTTCAGCTGAAAAGTAAGCTGATAGCCTTATGGGGTTTTCCTTGTCAGTAACTTGTTGCTTTTCTCTTGCAGCTTTTAAGATTCTCTCTTTATCTTTAGTTCTTGACATTTTAATTATAATGTGTCTTGGTGTAGGCCTCTTTGGGTTCATCTTGTTTGGTGCTTTCTGTGCTTCCTGTACCTGGGTGTCTGTTTCCTTCCTTAGGTCAGGAAAGTTTTCAGCTATTATTTCTTCAAATAAGTTCTCTGCCCCTTTGTCTCTTCTCCTTCTGGGACACCTATGATGCAAATGTTAGTATGCTTGATGTGGTTCTAGGGTCGCTTAAGCTGTCCTCATTCTTTTTAATTCTTTTTTCTTTTTTCTCTTCACCTTGGGTGATTTTCTTTACTCTGTTGTCCAGATTGCTGATCTGTTCTTCTGTGTTATCTACTTTGCAGTGATTCTCTCTGGTGAATTTTTCATTTCCATTATTATATTTTTCAGCTCTGATTGGTTGTTTGTTATATTTTCTAATTCTTTGTTAAAGTTCTTACTGTGTTCATCTATTCTTCTCTCGAGTTCAGTGAGCATCCTTATGACCATTACTTTGTACTCTTTATAAGCTAGATTGTTTACCTGTTTCATTGGGTTCTTTTTCTGAGGATTTGTCCTGTTCTTTTATTTGGAACATATTCCTTTATCTCCTTAATTTGCCTACTCGTCTGTGCTTATTTCTATGTATTAGGTAGATCAGCTAAATCTCCTGATCTTGGAAATGTGGCCTGATGTAGGAGGTAGCTTAAGGGGCCCAGCAGCCTGCTCCCCTCTTGTCACCCAGGCCAAATGTTACAGGGGTGTCCCCTGTGTGAGCAGTGTGGGCCCTTCTGTTGTGGCAGGGCTGCTATTGCTGCTGATGCATGGGTAGGCTAGGCTGGCCCCTGGGCCACCTAGTTGTCTGGCCTGGCCACATGCAGCTGCTACAGGCATGTTATTGGGTGGTGCAAGCCCCCAACATGGCTGGCTGTGAGGCCTGCTAGCGCACAACTACTGCGGGTTCACTGGTGAGTGGGCCAGGTGTCCAGAGTAGCTGGTTGCAGGGTCCAGCAGCACACAACTGCTACGAGCTCACTGGTGGGGGGACCAGGTCCCCTGGTATGGTTGGTTGCTAGGCCTGGGGGCATGCAACTGTTGCAGGCCCCCAGTGTGACTGGCTGCACAGCTTAACAGTGCACAACTGCCTTTGGGCATGCTGGTGTACAGGGAAGGCCCCCAGTGAGGCTAGCTGCACAGCGTGTGGCTGTTGCTAGCTCACTGGTAGGTGGAGCAGGCCTCCAGTGTGGGCTGGCTGTGTTTCCTGGTGGCAGTGCATTTGCCTCAGGTGCACTGGTGTGCAGGACAGATCCCTGGGGTGGGCTGCCTGTGCTGCCTGGCTGAACTCAATTGCCTCAGGTGCTCTAGTGGTTGGGGGCAGGCCCCTGCACTAACAGGCTAGAGGGAGGATTCCAATGGTGCCTGCCAGCATCTGTGTCATACAAATAGCTACTGCCAATGTCTCAGTCCCTGGGGGAGAGGAGACCAATTGTTTCCTGCCTCTCCAAGATGCACTCTGAGCTTAGTAAGTGAGTCTCTTTTACCAATGGACTATGTTCTTTTCTGTCTGGTGTTTTGTGCTGGTTTCCAAGTCAAATGAGTCTGTGTGTGGGCCCTTTAAGAACAGATTTTCCTTTCCCTGAAGTTGTACAGTTTTCCTGGGAATATTACCCATTGTTTTTCAAACCCAAGTTTTTTGGGGTCTCATCTCTCTTGTCCTGGATCTAAGGGCTGGGGTGCCTAATATGGAGCTCAAAACTCCCACTCCTCCAAAAGAATGGAGAAGCTCCATTCTTTTGAGATCACTCCCCACAGTGAAGCACTGTGGCTAGGGTGTGGTTTTTTCCTCATTAGGACTCTACCTCTGCCTCTTCCATCCCTCTCTGTGATGTCCCTTGTTGTGGAGGTTCTTTCTATCCAGTTTCCAGATCTATCTCAGAGGAAATTTTTCTATAGGTAGTTGTAGGTTTGTTGTGTCTGTAGGAGGAGAGCTCAGGATCCTCCTATACCACCATCTTTTTAAAACTCGCACAGCCTTTTTAGTTTAATTTGAAACAAAATATAGCTAAGGTCAATGTTGTTTAATCTAGTCTAAGATTCACTACCTTTTAAAATAATGAGTTTAATATGTTCATATTTATTGTAATTATTAATGTATTTGCATTTTATCTCATTTGGAGTTATCTAATTACCATGACCTTTGTTTTGTTAATGCCCTTCAGACAAAGGGCAGGCACATCTGTCGTTAAACAAGTTGGGTTTACTACTTGTTACTGCTAGAGAAAACACACACCATATTGGAAAGAACACATTACAGGTTTCAATGGACCAGACATGGATTATTAGAGAGAACACTGCCACAAATTTGTCTAAGAAACAGACCCAAACAACCAGTTGGAGGGCAGATGAGACTTCATCTGAAATTAAACTACACACAAGAAGTCCCTAGATATTGAGGTGCTCACCAAATACCACATGTAACACTTCAAAAAAGAAAAAGTAGTCCTTATTCTTCCATATAGAAAATTTGATAACAGTTTAGAATAACACCAGTCAAGAAAGAAATATTCTGTGCTCTTATATCTCCTTCATTTATCCTCATCCTCTCCACATGAACCTTGGACATGTCAGAAACCATGGTTAGCAGTATGTGAGAGAAGGGATAAAAGTTTTAAATTGGGAAAATAGAGAACAAATTGGGCACGGCTGCTTTCACACTGAAGATAGCCATCCCAAACTAGGCCTGTCTGGGGGAGATGAGAACAAATAAAATAAATAACAAAGTTTTAAAATGTTACAATGAACATCCAAATACCCATCTCTTAGTTTCATCATGTGGCTGCCAAGGTTGCCTTGAGGGTTGACATTCAGCCAGCCGGTAGGGAAAGAGAGAGAGGGGAGAATAGTGTGGTAGGTTTTTATGGACAAGTATCAGAAGTAGAGACATAAATTTTGCAACATTTCATGGGTCAGGACTCATTCACGTGGCACTACCTAGAGGCAAGGAAGGCTGGGAAATATAATCCCTGGCTGGCTGCCTCAATTTAGCAACAATTCTAGACCATGAAATAGGAGCACCAATGTGTGGTGTTCAGCTGGCTGTCTCACCACATTCATTTTGCTTTGTTTTCTTAACAGTTAGATCTCATGCATCTAAAATTTATTTATGTGTTTGTGTATGATGTGAGTTAATAATGTAGAAATTCAAAGTCTTGATTATTTCTCTGGATTGGATGTGTCATTATTGAACTGAGACTATTGGGAGGACTAAGTGACTGAAGTTCTTTTTCTAAATGAGAGATAAGAAAAACTACGGAGGCAACCTGGGATTTAATCGAGGGGCAAAGGCAGAATTAACCTCACAAAGAGAGTTTGAATAGGAAATAGGGAAAAGAGGAAAATTGTTTTCCTATATCTCTGATAAGTCCCGCTTGTCTGTGCCTTAACATTTTTAAAACATATGTAATCCTTGATTTTAAATTTAGTATGGGCCTGATTTACCCTCTAGTGATTCTACATTCAGAATAATTAAAAGGAACAAATCAACACACACCGTGTCCACTAACTGAAAGACTTTTTAATGTATAGTAATAAAATGCAAAGATAAAAGGCAAGATCTAATCAGGTAAAAGTCACAGGTGTAGGATGAAGTGGCTTATATTTAGTTTTAGTGTCTGGTAGTTAGATATTCAACTCTTTGTTTCTGTGTTGCTTGAGCTAAGTGATACTGGGATATAGCATCACCAATTATAGTTGATTATTCACTCTACTATAGTGTCTCTTTTATATTTAAGACATATCAATGCTCAAAAGAGTCTGTGCCTTGAAATCAATTTGTGTTATAAAACTAGCCAAAAAGTCTGATAACATTCTATGGTAAGAAAATATTCAGTGCTGGTATCAATTTCAAAATATTTGTTGGGTTTTAAGATCTGGCTAACATGATACGAAGAGTGTTTTCTATGCCATATTTAAAACCTATGTTCATATTTTCTTGTAACATTTGTAAAATGCTGACTCTGCTGAAGACAGAGGCAAACATATACCTAAACTACTCAGGAAAGAATTAAAGTAGGTGCATGGCTATGAAGGTTAATTTTATGGGTCAACTTGACTGGGCCAAGGAGTATCCACATATTCAGTCAAACATTATTCTGGCTATTTCAGTGAGAGTATTTTTGGATAAGGTTAACATTTAAATTGGAAGACGGAATAAAGCAGATGGCTCTTTTAAATGTGGATAGGCTTCATCCAAGCAGTAGAAGGCCCGAATAGAACAAAAAGTCTGGCCCTCCTGAGAGTAAGAGAGAATTCTTCTTGCCGGTCTACCTTTAAGCTGGGACATCAGCTTTTTTCCTACCTTCAAAGTCAAATTGAAAAATTGGCTTATCTTGACTCTTGAGCCTGTTAGCCTTTGTACAGAAACTACACCATCGGCTCTCCTGGTTCTCATGCCTCAGACTTACCTGGAACCAAACCGTTGGCTCTATGGGGTCTTGAGCTTGCCAACTCACCCTGCAGATCTTGGGACTTTCCCGCTTTCATAATTGCATGAGCCAAAGCCTTGTAATAAATCTCTTTATATATATCATAAAGAGTTTTACCAAAGAAATTTTACTAAATTTACTGAAGAAAATTGTGATGCCTCATATAACAATAGGATGGACTCTCCCATGACACATTCTCTATTTTGAACTCAGTGAAATAAGAGTTGTAACTTGTGCTACTACTTT